ATGAGATGCATCCCAGAGCCCTGGGAGGGGAAGGGTGCCCAGCAGATCAAGTACTTTCTTCTCTTAAGAAATGGAGTGGAATGAGGAGAGGGAAGAAACCCAGAAGGAAAACCACCTCAGGGGTTTCCTTGGGAAGGCTCGAGCACACACGATGCCTGCTTTTCTTCCGGGGTGAGAGGATTCTTGGGGAGCAGCCACTCAGCGTGTACGTGCAGCCTGGTGGCAGCTACTGAACTCGCTTGCCTGACTGACGGTGGCCCCCGAGCACAAAGCCCACCTCCATGCCAGGCTTCACACAAATGCCTCCTTCACACCCACTCGGGCTGGCATGTGCAGCTCCAACCCCCAGGTCCCTCCCCAGCTGAGGACTGAGCAGTCCTGCCTCCCGGAGCACCACAGGCCTGGTGCAGGGGCGGGGCTGCTTTTATCCTGCCAGCCCTGCATCCCCACGCTGGCTCCTTCAAGAAATTCTGATGGAACTGAAGGCTGATCTGTGATCTCTCTGATTCATGAGGACTTTCAGAGGCTGGCCCATTTTCTCCTCATTTATTGGACCAAGCAATGTCCTTGCAGATCCGTGCCCATATTCAGGAATAAGTCAGTTAAGTCAGCCAATAAATGTTGATTAAAGGCTTCCTGTGTGCCTGGCACTGTGCTAAACAGTGGGGATAAAAAAAGGGGGGCAAAACCCTGCCCTCTAATCACTATTATCATTATAATCATCATTATATCATTAGATTACGGCACACCTTGACATGGTTGTCCCTAGACATCTTAAACTCAGCATGTCCAAAAGTGAACTCAACATCTTTCTCCCAAGCCCTCCCCGCTTCCTAACTCCCTATTCAGTTTAAGGAACCCCAATACTACACTTCCCATACTCAGTCACCCCACAGATCCAGGCTGTTGCCAAGTTTTCTCATTTCTACCTTCACAACATCTCTTGTTTAAGCTCCCTTCTCTCCAGGGCCATCAGCCCCACCCTGGTGCAGGCTCTCCTCACCTCACACCTGGAGTACTGGTTGGTATCAACCAAAAAGGGGGTAGGGAGATTCCTGAGTCACTGGAAAGTGAAAAGGTTGGAAAGAAAACAAGAAAACAAATAAGAAAGCAAGAGAAAAAGGAAGGGAGGAAAGGAGGAAGGGAGGGAGGGAGGAAGGAAGGAAGGAAGGAAGGAAGGAAGGAAGGAAGGAAGGAAGGAAGGAAAGAAGGAAGGAAGGGAGGAAGGAAGGAAAGAAGGGAGGGAAGAAAAGAAAGAAGAAAGAGAAAGAGAAAGAAAGAAAAAGACAAAGAATGGTACAGCGGAGAAATCATTGGCTCTGGAGTCAAAAGACCTAGCTTTGAATCATTCCTGATTCTTACTACTTATGTGACCTTGGACACGTCACCTAATATCCTTGAGACTCAGTTTCCTCATCTGTAAAATGAAGGAGTTAGACTAAATGGCCTTCTAGCAATAAATGTACAATCCTATTTTTAAGAAAGCACTAGAAAGGGAGGGAATAGAGAAGTGGGGGGGCACGGGGCAGGGAGCACATGGTAAATGGTTGTTGAGCGGACTGTAGGACCTGCCTGGCACCTGAATACTGGATGTGATTTGAGGACCCACTAGACCAAAAATATCTCCCCCATCTGCTGGCCATGGGTGAATGCAATTCTCTCCTGTGAAATTTAATACAGGCTCAAGGCATCACTGTCCAAGAGAGCTACGAGTAAGATTCCTTCAGCCCTAAATCCCATCATCCCGTGAAATGTAATCCAGGACACCAACTGTATTCAGGATTTTTTTCGCCCTTACTCATGACTCCCCTGTGAAGTTGTTCTATTTCCTCATTGGTGAGGGGGTGGGAAGGGTGTGTCCTGAACCCCCTCCAGAGGCACAAGAACCCTGGGTTTATACCCCTCAGGGATCCCTTAGATAGAAACTCACCTGGATCCCACAGAAGTATTTATTTACAGATCATCAATTATTGGATAGTGAAGCAAGCCTGGAGGTAGACAGGGAGGAACGGGGAATGCTTAGACTGGAGGAAACCAAAAAGTCTTGGGAGAGACAAGATCGTTGTCTTTCAGTACATATTCCAGGCTGACCTGTTCTAATTCTTTAGCCTCAGAAAGCAGGCAAAACTCAGTCCCACATGGAACCACTTCCTAGTAGAGCCCATCTAAAAGTGTAACAATGGTACTCAAACAGGTAGTAAGCTCCTTGTGAGTGGAAGTGTTCAAGCACTGGCTAGATCCCCACATGTTGGAGTTTCCGTGGTGGTTGGAGGAAGCGAGTGCTAGACCAGAAGATCTGTAGGGTTCCTTCCATCTTTAAAGCCTATGACCCTAAATTTCCTGAGTCTATGTAATTTCTGGTCAAGTACAAATCTGATCCATATGACCTTTAAGGTCCCTTCCAACTCAGAATCTACATGACATCATCTAGGGCACTTTAGGCTACATCCACTGCCCTCCCAGAGCAGAGCCCCAAGCCCTGGGCCAGGGGTGGGGAGGATTACTGTCCAGGCCTGGGGGGAGGGGGTCAGCAGAAGGACCCTGGTCACCTGGGGAACAGGGAAGAGAAAGTCTTCTAACAAAAAGGGGTGTGTACATCAATGACAGGCTTTGCTTCCAGTACAAGCATGTGGACTTGTATATACATATACATGTCTTTGCAGGCTAAACAGTAAGCCCCTTGAGGGCAGGAACTACTCTCTGCAGCATCTAGCACGCTGCCTGGCAGAAGAGTTCATAAATGCTTGTTAACCAGCTGTCTAACTGATGGTGGGTGTGTTCTCTAAATATCACTACATACCCCCTCCAAAAATAGACGGACGAAAGGTGGAGCTCTGTACCTGCCCTCAGGAAAACCTTCTCAGGTCTTCCTTCCTTGAAGGGTGACACGGTGCTCAATCACTGTCTGAGGATGAGGACGATTAGCAAATTCACAAATGGGAGTTCTGTTTAATTGTGCATTTTTAGTTCAGACTTGTCTAATAACATGTTCTGGATAATAGGATCTTAGAGGTACAGCTGGGGGGAGGCCAACTAGTCCCCCCCCACACACACACACACTTTACAGAAAAGGAAACTGAGGCCCTCAGAGATGAAGTGACTTATCCAAGATCACACAAGAGGCAGGGTCAAACCTTCTCAGAACTATTAACCCTACCTCAGAAGTCGTATTTAATGACATTAAGTATTCATGAGCCACTGATGTGTTTGAATTTCCACAAACGTTTTTTAAATTCCCTATCTCACAGAAGGGACCCAGCCTCAGCCAGAGTCGTAATGGAGGAAGAAAGAGGGTCTTCAATCAGACAGTGACTGGCCCTAACCACAAAAGTGTGACCTGATCTTTAACTGATAAATTTGCCAACTGTATGTGACGCCTCCTTCTCGATTTAGGACCAAGGCGCCACTGGCCTCCCATCCAATCAGCGGTCAGGCCAGGGGACGTCATTCTTCCTCTCCCATCTCTGTCCACTCACCCAGATATCCCCCCAGTTCAGGCCCTGCTCACCTCTTTCTGGTCTAGACTACTGCAATAGCATCCTGTCTGGTCCCCAGCTTCTACCCTCTCCCCACCAGTCCCTCCTCCATGCAGTCTGCCAGATAATCTTCCTAAAGCACACGCCTGCCAACGTCACTCACTCCCTGATTTGGGAGAATACGGGACTGAGGTTCTATTTTAATACTCTGGGGGATAGGGGAAAAGGGGGCAGAAACTGAGGCAAACAAAGGTTAGGTGACTTGCCCAGGCTCACACATCTTGACAAGTGGCCGAGGCAGGATTCGAATTCAGCCTTCCTGACTCCAGGTTTAGCACATTCCACCAGGTTTACATAATGGATTCCCCCATCCTCATTGTTAGTGCCTACAAACACACACACAGAAATTACTTTATATTTTTTACATTTCATAGGTTACAATTTAGTTACTACACAAATAAATTCTGTGTACATTTGGATTTCCCCCCAGTAGACTGTCCACTTTTCAAGAGTAAGGTCTGTGTGTACACACACACACACACACACACACACACACACAATTAGGATGGAAGCTTGGTCCCAGATTCCCCCAGATCAGACGCTCCTGTCTCATCCAGTCCCAACAGTTCCATGAGGAAGGAGCCACAATAGTTTCCAGGTCCTGCTTCACCCCACATTGGCTAAACATAGAGCCGGCTTCAAGAATCAGACGTTCTCCATCCCCTCTGGCTCACCTGCAGCCTTGAATGCAAATGGTTGATAAGCGCTCAGCCACTTTTCAGAACAGCTTTGAATTCTGGACTTTGTTGTCCCCGAAAAATCAATTTTCAGCTAATTCTCTGCGGCTCTTTACATGCCTGGCAGCTGAGATTTCACTGGGCACAGGAATGAATATCCAAGGAACAAAAGAGGGCCAGGCAAGGCTGAGTCAAGAATGCCAAGGAATCAGGGCTTTCCACAGCCTTAACAAACCGAATGTCTGCATCACTACACAGACTCTAAGTGTAGCTCGGTGGAGGGCCCTCAAAGAAGGGCAGTGTGGGGCAGAGGTGAGAGAGTCAGACTGTCTATGCCAAGCGCCTTAACATCTTGGTGCCTTAAAGTAACTCTTTAATTATAAATTATTCCTAAATGGTTGGTCTACATTGGGTGGCAGAAGCTT